CTGGAAAAGGTCTCTTGTCCTGATTTTGAAAACTTTATCCTGGATCAGTACTAGACAGTCTCCCACTGCCTGGTTTATTCAACATTGGGCACATGTCCCTGTAGTGCTACAAATTAGCTAAATCACTGTAACTTTAATCCTGAATGAAACAGTGTTAAAGTAGCAATGGTTTTGTGCAGGAGCAGGAGCATGCAGATTTAACAGTTACACTGTAGCAGATCATATCAGTTTCATTTGATACAGACAGAATTGCTATATCTAAGATAGATGCCTAAAGCAGGTACACTAACCAGAAAAAGCAGTGATGTATACTACTTTCAGTTCCAGAGGTTTTTGGAGTATCTAGGATTGTGTCCCAAATTTTGCTCCTTAGCTACTGGTCTCTTTACTCCTACTGCTCCTGCTGTTTCTAACATACATATTATTCAATCCATGTTTGATAGTCGTTTGAGACTAACAGGAGATTGCCAGGTCCAGAAATATGTCTGAAGAACAGGTATTGGTCTCATGGAACTTCCTCCCTTTCAGTTTTGATCTCCTTTGCCTTATCTCTTACCATAACTAATCCTAAAATTCTTTGTCTTGTTTCTGTTTTCTTGCATTCCAATCTTCTTTCCTATTTTTCAGAACAGATTTCAAGTGAAAAGACACATTTTCATTGGATGCATACTGATAGACCAGGGGAAAAGCTTCCCAGGACAAGGTTACAGTCATCATTTAAGGGTGAGTTTGGGCAAATAGCTTAATTATTTTCACTGAAATAGTGTGAAAGTCCCCTTATGAAATGTAGTGCATGGTGACTTTATAGATAATATTCTGGCTCGTGATAAAGAGAACTAACTGACTTGAAGCAAGTGGGCATCCCGGGGCTGGTCTCAATGTAGGCCTGCCTACTTGCTTCAGGGCAAACCACCCACCCATCTCACCTACCACACCTTGATGTTCTTGATTGAAGGATGTTCATCAGGTGGGAGGCTGTCCTTTACCTGCCCTGATGACAAGGGCCTATATAAATGACTCTGACCTTTCCTTATCGTGTCCCAAGCCTTGCAGACCTTCCATGGCCTAACACCCGGTGCACGTCTGCTCGGCCTAGCACTTGGCCTCCAGCTTGTCTAGCCTGACACCCAGCTAATAGCTTAGTGAGGCCTCACCCAGCCTCCCTGCCTCTGTGGGGCCTCGCCCAGCTTCCAACTCAAAGTGGCCTGACACCCAGCTTTCAGTCGGCACATACACCTGGCCTTAAAATACTCAGCCTCACATCCAGCCCCTCTGCTTCTAATATACACTCAAAAGCCTTAAGCCCCACCCTGGGCTCCAAGCCCTATCTCTGGGCCTGTAAGCCCCAGGCTCCAAGCCCCATACTCAGACTCCAAGTCCCATCCCCAGGCTCCAAGCCTCTTTACCAGACTCCAAGCCCTGTCCCCAGGCTTCAGGCACTGTCCCCAGGCTTCAGGCCCCTCTCTGGGCCCCAGGCCCCTCACATCAGACTCCAAGCCCCTCTCTATGGGACTAGGACTCCAAGCCCTGCTGTTCCCCACCCCAGAAACTAACTCCCAGCTCCCTAATGCATCCTCAGACTCCACTGCAAGTCTGGGAACTGCCACATGTCCCTCTTCCTGGCCTGGGCCCTACCTCAGTACTTGCAGTGAGCCTGGGCTCCCCCTGCAATGACCAACTACCCACCAGGGATGTGGGGGCTAGGGTTAGAAGGTATCCCATTCCTGCCTTTCACCAGGGAAGTAACTGGCCTGGCACTTCTCGGGCACTCCTCCACCACAGGGAGTCCCACCAGGCTTCCTCAACAGGTGCAGTTTTCTGTTGTACCTAGGACAAGGAGCTGCCTGCCTTCCCCAATACCTCCTCTCTTACCTAGGAGTTGTACAGGGCCCAGCCCTTATATAGCAATTGGGCCCTGTTCCCCAGTCAGGCAAAATTGCCTGATTGAGATAATAGTCAGCTGCAGGCTGCCTGCTTGCTCCCTATGTCTCTGGGACTAACAGAGCACCCTGTGCTGTCTATTCCTCTGCTGACTAACAGAGCAACCTGTTACACATTGGACACAGTGTAACTTTGAAAAAGCCATTTCCATGACTTAGCTTAAGTCTGTATACAATGGGGGAGCAGTTATGTCAAATTCCTTTGTTAAATGTATTGAAATTCATAGATTCACTGTTTAATACTTTCCACTGTTCCTGCTGCTCCCACCATCAGCACCAGGTTCCAGGAGATGAAGGCCCCATGCTCAGTACTATTAGAATTCACAGATTCACAGAAGTTTAGGCCTGGAAGGGACCTCATGAGATCATCGGGTCTTGCCACCCTGCTCTGGGCAGGAAAGACTGCTGGGGTCAAATAACCCCAGCAAGGTGTGCATCCAGTCTCCTTTTGAAGATCTCTAAGGTAGGTGCCTGCACCACCCCCACTGGGAGTCTATTCCAGAATTTGGACACACAGACCATGACGTTTTTCCTTGTATCCAGTCTGAAACTTTATTCTAGGAGTTTATAACCATTGTTCCTGGTTTTCCGCTGGAGCGCTTTGTTGAATAGTTGTTTGCCTAGCCCCTGATATATTTGTAAGCTGCCACCAAATTCCAGCAAAGTCTTCTCTCTTGTAGGCTGAACAGTCCCATATCTGTCAGCCTTTCCTTGTATAGCTTGGTCTTCAGGCCTCTAATCATATGAGTGGCTCTTCTCTGAACTCTCTCAAGATTCTCCACATCTTTCTTGAAGTGTGGTGCCCAGAACTGGACACAGTACTCCAGCTGCATCCTCACCAATGCCAAGTAGAGCAGTAGAAAAACATCCTTAGTTTTGCTTGAGATGCATCAGTTGCTGCATGCCAGCATATTGTTTGCTCTGCTAACTGTAGCATCACACTGGTGGCTCAGATTCATTTTATGGACAATTATGACCCCCAGGTCCCTTTTGGACATGGTGCTAGCTAGCGTAGCACCACCAAGCCTGTAAGTTTGTTGCAGATTTTTCCTCCCCACATGGAGCACGTTACACTTTTCAGTGTTGAACAGCATCTGATTCTGGTCCACCCATATAAGTAATCTGGCTAGGTCCACCTGGATCATTAGCCTACCCTGAGGCATGGCCACACTTCCCCATGGCTTAGTGTCATCAGCAAACTTTGCCAGTATGCTTTTCACCCCCACATTCAGATCATTGATGAAGATGTTGAAAAGCACTGGTCCAAACCCTGGGGGACCCCACTGGCTACCTTCTGCCAGGTCGACACCCAAGGGAGGTGGTGCTCTCTCCTACCTAGGAGGTCTTCAAGAGGAGGCTGGACAGATATTTGTCTGGGGTGTTATGACCCCTCACTTGTTCCTGCCCGGGGTAGGAGGTCAGACATGATGATCTGTTTAGGTCCCTTCTGAGCCTAAGCACCATGACACAGATCTGACTATTAATACTCTCTGGGTCTGACCCTGTAGCCTGTTTTCCACCCATTTGATCACTAAATTGTTGAGCTCATTACCCCCTAGTTTTACCTTGAGAGCCTCATGAGACACCAAGTCAAGGGCCTTCCTAAAGTCCAAGTAAATAACATAAACATCACTAAATAACCCTATATTTACTTTTATGTAGCCAGTGCAAATGGTACTAGTGTAAGTTCTATACATGAGGTCACAGGATCATAGGAAAGTAGAATTGGAAGGATCCTCATAAAGTCATCTAATCCTGCCTTGAGCCACCCTGATGATCCTGCCTTGAGCTGCCTTCTCAAGGCAGGATCATTCTTGACTAAACCATGGGATGTTAATCTGTCTAGTGCCTGTTTAACCTGCTTTTGAAAGTTCCCAAGCATGGATTTTCCACAACTTCTCTAGGTAGCCTGTTCCAACGCTTGACCACCCTCACAGTCAGAATGTTTCTCCTAATCTCCAGTCTAAATTTCCCCTGCTGTAGCTTAAGACTATTGCTCCTAGTTCTGTCCCCTATAGCCACAGATAAATGATCATTTCTATCCTCCCTATTATTATCCTTCAGGTATGTGAAGACTTTTATGAAATCACCCCTCAGTCTTCTCTTCTCTAGGCTAAATAAACCCTAATTCTTTCAGGCTTTCCTCATAAGACTTGTTTCCCAGGCCCATGATCATTGTCATTGCTATGAGCTGGACTCTTCCCAAATTTCTTCATCCTTCTTGAAGTGGGGGGCCAGGAACTGGACACAGTACTCCAGATGAGGCCTCCCTAGTGCTGAATAGAGAGAAAGAATTACTTCCCTCAATTTGCAAGAGATACTCCTGTTAATACAACCAGATACTCTGTTAGCTTTTTTTTTTTTGCAGCAAAAGCACACTGTTGATTCATATTCAGTTTATAGTCCACCATAACTCTCGAGTCCTTCTCTGCAATACTGCCACCTAGCCAGTAGGTCCCCATTTTGTATTTGTAGATGCAGTTATTCCATCCCCAGTGCAGGACTTTCCACTTGTCCTTGTTGAATTTCATGATTGATTGCAGACCATTTCTCCAGTCTATCCAGGCCATTTTAGAACCCTGCTCTGCCCTCTGAAGTGTCTACAATTCCATCAAACTTGTGTCATCCACAAATTTGCTAAGTGTACACCATTGAAATCATTATCCAAATTGAGATTAAGCAACAAAAGGTTAGAAGTTAAAACCAATTTGGAAAATAGAGGCCAAACTAAAATTACCCCCATAGGCATATAAAATAGACTCAGGAGTTAGAGGCCTAAATCCTAAAAAGTGATTCAGATTAATCTGGTGCCCTTGGAACTACAAGGGTGGCTACAATTAGGTTCCCTTGTCCTGCCAGAAGTCACCCAAGCCACACAGTTTGGCAACTCTCCTTTAAGCTCTTGAATGAAGGAGGTGATCTTCTTTCATATCACATTTTAGGATTAAAACATTCATAGATTAATTTCTAAATTTGCTAACCATTCAACTGCTTCAGGGGAAGTTGCATGGGTTCATTTTAGATTGGCATTAAATGAACTAATTGGGCAATCATTCATAATTTGTTGCACCATCTGAAAAATCACACCACAATCACAACCCAAACTCTCCTTGATTCTCCATTTATGGAGTAGGTGTCCACACTTACCACAAAGTGTCCAGATGCAATTCAGGTAGGGCCAAGTATTTCTCAGTAGGTCAGATCCTGGCTGGGGAATTGTAGGGTCACTGACAATGTATTTCTGTGGCAAGCTGGTATTTGCCCAGGCTTCCCTCCATTGTTCTTTGGTGCTCCTGTTACCATCATAGAGCTCCTTGGTGCATTTCCAGAAGGGTTTTCAAGATTTGAGCCTATCCAGTGGTGACATAGTGATGTCCTTGTTGATTGGGAAGTGTGGGTTACCGATAGAGGTGATAAGACTATATTAAATTCCTGGGGAGGGACATTGTGGTTTTATCCATTAATTGTGGTTTTATTTATTAATGGAAAAATGCCCCTCCCCAGGAAGGAACATTTTTGCCTTAGTGGATAAAACCACAATTAGCTCACAATGGGTACATCTATACATGCTGGTGCCTGTGAGGAGACATTTACTGTGGACCTAATTAGGCAACTCCACAGTATATCTCATGTAGACACACCCAATGACAGTAGTGAAATAATTTAGGTTTGGGTACATATGGAGCCAACTGGGATATTGTTTTAGGAACCTAAATGGACTTAGGCAGAATGTTGTTGTTTATGTTGAAGAAAAGGGATCCAGAGTGTTCCTGCTCCATTTGA